TTGCCCAACCAATAGATACTCCTTGATTTAATAGCTAGACTTAAGTAACTCAATCAAAATATGATTTACTCAAATTGCCATGAAGAGCTCCACAGTTTATTAGATGGGCTGGCCGTGGAGGCGTGGCACTTGAAGTATGCCAAGCGTAAAGGCTTAGAACAAAACGGGTCTTCCCGTTGCAGCACAGACAGACACACACACACACACACACACGTACACGGCTCATAAAGTTAAGAGCCCATAAACAAAGCAGCTGCTGGAGTGGGAGGGGAGGGGGGCATGGGAGGGCAAGGTTTGTTAGCTTGATATTTGGTCAGTTGGTCTATTGCACAACAGCTCGCAAGAGCCACAAAAGGTTGCTCGAGTTCGCTGTTGAAAGGGCAACAGTTCAAGGCGGTGAAATGGAAAGCAGCCAAGAAAGAAAACCACTTAAACAGCAAAAAAAAAACAATAAAAAAATGAGTCAAAATAAAAAAGTCAAATGTGGCCAAAGGTCACGCCCACAGACGACAATCCAAAAATACGAAATACGACACTAAAATGAAAAAAAAAGCTCAACAAGATTCACAACCAAATGTTCGGGGCCCTTTGTCCAGCTGCCCATTTGGCCCATTGGCACTGATTAAAACGAGCGACCCCACACGAAATGTGGGGCGGGGGCCAGTTGTCAGTTCACTTCATTATGCCCCTTTCACCCAATGTGGTATAATTCAACCACAATGTGGTATAATTCCTCCTCTGCCGCCTCTTGCCCGTTTTCAAGTACGTGACCAAGAGTGGAGTCGGAGCATGCATAATGCAGATAATGTTGGCAAACGTAAAGCTTCCTCATCCAATTATATATCACACAAAATAGTTGAGATAAAAGGAAAAGTGCTTTAGTCACTGCTATGATCGACTTGGAAATACCATAGGCGAAGGAAGAAAACCAAAGGAATCTGATCTAGAGAGTCTAGAGTAATAGTAAAGAATTTAGCATTTTAAATCATGAAAATCGCTGAAAATATAGCCGAGTTATATATGTTTGAAGTTATGAAAAAAAAAAAATTCTCCACTTAAGGGTTAAGCCCTGACCAAGTCTACCAAGCTATAGTTTTTTATTGCCTACTATTAGCTCACACTATGGCCAACCCAACCCACCCCCTTTGCTCCCATAGAGCAGCAGCTGCTGCTGCTGAGCGCAAGTCTCCACTTGTCTAGTGGTCCACAATGTTGACCAGCGCAATTGTCAACGCTGAATTATCACACTGAGCATTGCGGCAGAAAGATAAATTGCATATATGTTTTTAATTAAAGCAATACTAGTAAGAAGAAGAAAATTATAGTTTACCGCTTAAGTAGTGAGCAACTCTACAGAGTTAATACTTAATTTGCATACCAACAGAATTGTCAATAACAAACTTACAGCAAAAGAAATAGTTTTTTTCTCTTTTTGTTTGTTTTGTAAAAATATATATGCATATTAAAAAATCATATTTCATATATATAAGTTGCTCGCATAAGAATTCAGCTATATCGCACTGACCAACTCTACAAAATTGTTGCCAAATTGTTTGTCGCCTGTCTTGCACTGTGCTCTGTCGCACAGCACCTGCTCAGGGGTGTCATTTTAGCTTTTTTCCCGTCAGATCTGGCTTTATTTGAAGTCCCAATGCCGGAAAAATTTGAAAACGGCGGGTTGCGGGAATTCTGGCTTTAAAAAAATTAATTTAGCTCTATTTTAGCTTTATTTAATTTTCATTTACTTATTTTGATTTATTTTGTTCTTATCGCTGTCAACACAAAAAATCATGAATACAAGTATCGATACATGATTTTATATCATACAATCTATAGAAATCATTTCGTGGTATGAGCAACAGGTCTCGTGTGTCAACAAAAAAACACTAACGTGCACGAATTGGATNCAAAACAAATGAATAATCATAAATGAATTTAATTAAGAAAATAGTGTTTTTTAAACCCAGCTTTTATTTTGGCTTATTTTTTCCTGAATTTAGCTTCTTTTAGCTTCTTTTTTTTGCCAATCTGGCTCTATTTGCTCGAAAAATTATGACAGCACTGCACCTGCTGCTGCTGCTGAGCGCAGCAAGTCTACACTTGCAAGTCTACACTCTGAGAGAGCATGCTGAGAGAGCATTTGTGATCGGCATTGTTGTTGTTGCTGTTTGTTTTCTTCTTTGTTCTTTTTCTTTTAATTCCAATTTATTTATTGTTGCTTTTGGCGTGCGAAACGATTCTTGAATCGATAAATACGCTTTTAACAATCAATTTGTGAGCTTTTGGCATTTGTTGTTGTTGTTGTTACTGTATTGTTGTCTTTTGTATTGATATTCGCGCTGAGCGCTCGTTTTGATTTGGACTGCGGCAAGCGCGCACGCCTGGAAGCCACGTTGGAATCACTGGAATATTGATCATCAATATGCGCATGACGTCAGACCGACACAACAACAGCAGCAGCAGAAACAACAACAACAACAACAACAACAATTAAATTGTGCTTGCAATTTGGCCATTTTTGTAATTACTTCCGCCGGCAGCGATAGGACAAATTGAGAAACCTTTGGCATATACCCTGTGCGGCAATCATGTGGGGTATATTTATCTTACCATAAAACATAACATGTTTTGTAAAGACGAAAGTGAAGCTATCGAGTCTATAAGCTAACCAAGTTTAAAGGTATCGAACTTGAATACCCTGTACTTCAAGTGAATGGAGCGTATTGATTATGTATCACCTGGACTTATAAATGCATTTTACAGTCAGGAGAATATTAATTACTGTAGAGGGTAACGCGCAGTCGGGCATCGCCCGTTACGCAAAGTTCTACTAAATGCTTTGGCATTGGCTTTGGCTCTGCTTTTGATTGATTTTTACGGTTTGTGGCGCTGCTTATGGGACAGTAAATGTTGTTGATAGATACACACACATAAATATATACATATTTATTTATTTGTGCATATATGAGTCAGCAACTGCCACGCCCTAAGCTCCAACCCAAATGACAATTGCCCGAAAGGAAAAAACAAACAAACAAAAAATCAAAAAAGAATTGAAAAGCCAAATTCAATCGCAAATGCCTTTTACTTGACCCAAAACCAGCAACAACAACAACGACAATAGCAAAAACAACAACAGCAGCAGCAACAGTTGCAACTTGCAACTTGCAACTGCAACTGCAACTGCAACAAGGCGACGCCTTTGCCATGCAAAGATTTTTGTTTTTTTTTTTTTGGAAAGGGAGGGCGAGCCTACGAGTCACGCACTGGTCAACAAATATGCCCACACATACCCACATACATACATACATATGTGAGATGTGCCACGCCCACTTTGCAAGCTAATTTGCGCCATACAAAGACATTGAATTGTTGTCAGCGCACAAAACAAAACACAACAAAACAAAGCAAAAAGCAGCACAGAAAAAAAAACACTTCAATATTTCAAGACGCACAGACAGAATCCCAAATAACAGTAAAGCATTGTTGCTGCCACAACAACAAAGACAACAACAAATTGTCCAAAACGCTTCACAAGCAATAACAATAACAATCAAATCACGACCAGCAGCTACCCTGTAGTCAATTGCAACTAAAGCAAGTGCATTGGGCTTAGTTATGTATATATATACATATGTATGTATATGTTGTATATATTTGTCCATATATTTATATCAATACACATATATATATTTCACAGATTTATGCTTTATGCTGCATACATATCCTGTTACATACATACACYAGCTCAATTGCAAATATAGCCCATTGGAAGTCAATGCACGCGGTATAACAGCTCAAATAGCGACTGCTTGTGGGTGCACACAGCTTTCCTCTCCCTTCCTCTAATGCTGAGTCCCCATCCACTAGCGAAGACATACACCCCTCACTCACTCTCGCTCTCTCCTGCTGCAAGCATTTGTCCATTTTGTGAACGAATAATGCGCGTGATATTGTATATATATGTATGTATGCATGTGTATATGTGTGTTTGTGTRTGCGCGCTTTAATGGTGGGAAAATATTTTTGCTGTGATTTGTTGTTGTTGTTGTTGTTGCTATTTGGTATTTTTTTGTCGATTTTGGTTTTTGGTTTTTGGGGCCGCATTTGGCAGCGACTGTGCCGCAGGATCTTTTCGAGGTTTGGGCGCACGTTACGTATACGCAACGCAGCGCTTATGCAACACGTGGAAGCAAGGCCCAAGCAAAAGTAGTGCAAAAAAAGTCAAGAAAGAGACACAGAAATACAAAGGCTAAAAAAAAACAGGCAAACAAACAAACAGACAACAACAAATGTCACGACAGCACAAACAACTAGAAAAACGCTGCACTTAACGACAGCCAACAACAACAACAACAACAACAACAACATCAACAACAAAAACAAAAGCAACGTCGGCGGTTTTAATGATTAATTTTTTGCACGTACTTTGCCATGTAAAGCGCGCCACTTAAAGCTGGAACAGCGGAGAGTGGAGGGAGAGCACGTACGTGTGTGAGTGCCTGTGGAGAACGTCATGTTTGGAGAGTGCCGATTGCCGCTGTATCTATGCGTGTGTGTCTCTATGTGTGTGTGTGTGCATAGTTGCCATTTGATCAAATTAATTAGTATCAAAAGTTACAGTATTTTTTTTTTTAGAAAACTATGTTTGCAATTCAGCCAAGTTTTAATTAAAAAATATTTTTTTAATGGAGAAAAATAATAGAAGCTAAATTATTCACGACAGTGAATCTAAAAATATGTGCATATATATAAAAGTAAAACTGCAGTAAATATATAATTGGCATTACGAAGTATTTTCAATTGTATGTGACAGAAACAAAAATTAAAATAGATTTTTTTAAACAAATTTAAGATCAAAGCCAAATATTATAAAAATGAGAAATATCAAATAAGTTTTAAAAAATTATTAAATGAAAATTATTTTCAAAAATTAGTGAAAGATAAACTAAAAACTGTATAAATGTTTGTGAAAAAGAGTAGGCAATATCACAAAAAAAAAGGATCAATTATGGGAAATAAAAAGTACCCAGTCAAGTACATTTGCAAGCAAGTGGCAATTCGTTTTTACGTGAATAAAAAGGAAATAAAAAGTACCGAATCAAGTACATTCGCAAGCAAGAGGCAAATTGCCTCTTCAATTCATTTTGAGTGTGTGTGTAAAAGACAGCAATAAGAAATGTCAAATATTAGGGACCAATTTTCTTTAGAGAAATAAAAAAATACCCAATCTAGTACATTTTCCAACAAGTGCATACTGCGTTTTGCATATGTATGTGTATGTTGTTTGTGTGTAAAAGGGCACGAAATGTCTACACCTCAGCGTTGGCCCCAGACTTTAACAATAAAAAAAAACAAAAACAAAAAAACAACAAAAAACAACAAAAACTGTCACAAGCAAAATATGCACATGTATATGTTCATATATTTATGCGTATTTGCATTTGTATATAGTTCTTTCGATATTTAACCAACTTTTTTATTGCACGCAAGCGCATGCAAAATGCACAAAACACGATTCAAAGTCGCACGTCAAACAAATAACGAAAAAAAAGTAAATAAACAGAAAAAAAAAACACGAAATAAATAAAAGGACTATTCCAATGTGCGCGCGGCGTGTTCGATACGAGGGCGCGTCGACGACTGCGGCGCTGCACGAGCTGCACCGTTAGTTTGTTACACCTGAACTGAACCGAGCTGAGCCGCGCACGTTGAGTCACATTGAGCGCGCGCGCGCGCACGTTGAGCCAAGTGCGCGCCCGCTCTCCCACCCCACCATTGTTAAGTCAAAGCTCTATACACACCGAGAGAGAGAGAGAGAGATAACTGTGTGTATTTGTATGAGTTTGCTTGGATTTGTTATTGTTATTGTTTTTGTTTTATCTCTTTTGTTTCACTTACCAGTTCGTTCTGCTCCTCCTTGGCGCCAGCTTTTGTTTTGCTCGTCTTGCTCAGTGCCATGCCGCCTCCAACGCCCACTCGCGTGTGTGAGCAAGAGAGATAGAGAATCGGAGAGTTTTGTGGCTGTGTACAGTGAAAGCTCTCAGTCCCTCTCTATCTCCCACTCTCTCTGTCAGCGTCCCTGCCTAAGCCGTTCTAAGTCTCCTTTTAGCACCAAACTTTTATTTACATATTTTTAAGCACCTATTTTGCAAAATTAAAAAAAAAATAACTAAAAATATGTTGTTTATTAATTTTTGTAAATTAATTTTTTGTGCAACACGCAGCATTAAATATGAAACCGCTGCACAGGACACCCCTTGACAAGGTCAGGGACATCCTCCCGCGCCTGACCTTTGTGCAAGGATAAACTTCGGCCCCTCCGCACTATCCGGG